GCCCAGCCGCTGCTGCAGAAACAACAGTTAACAGCTACCGTTTCAGCTGGGTTGCTGCTATTTCTTGCATTTCATCAAAAGTATACCTTCTTGTGGAGAGTTATCTTGCATTTCATTAGCTTGCACGCCATCAGTATTTGATCCTACAAAAAAGGACAGTTTATTAACCGAATCATCGATAATATTAAACTAAAGATGAGAAGATCATATAAACAAATTCTATTTCTTATAAACCTGTTAAATCAATTACTCTCTTCAATACTAGTGTTTCTACTTCTCCAGTGATTTTGCACAAAAGTCTCCTCTACAAAGATTCATGAATCATCTCCAAAACACACATTCTTATGTTGATCTTGTATCGGACTTTGATTATTCAAAATCTTACCAAGAGAAATAAGAAGTTCCCCCTTAATGAATTTCCTCTAAGGGCTTCAATGTGCTTCTTTTGTAATGCACCGGGTGCTAGAAGTCGTGCCTTGTTTCTTTTGGAAGTTACTTCCTTCCTGGGTTTTCATTTGCCTAAAAATAAAAGCAATTTAAGTTTGATTTTATAAGTTAGATATAAAACAAATATAAATAAGGAATAAATAATAGTAAAAAATATGAATCACAAACATTGTGCTCTAATAGAGAATGAATGCGAACATGAAAGCTACCAAAGAAATAGGAATAAAAGAAAAGAAATTAATATTTCAAGATACAACTCAAAAATTATCTCAATGATACGATACTAATACTAATCGAGTCTTATTCTTCAAACAAAAGCATCCTAATCCTCTAGTTTAATCTTTTTCCTTTTTCTTGAAGTTGAAGCCAAATTCACAATAATTGGATCAACATCAATCCTTAAATTGATACTATCATCGACCAACGAAGTGGATGCCGTAGCCTGAGCATTAAATGATTCTTCTTACAAATAAGCTTAAGCTCCATCGAATGTGTCTTCACAATCTTTATTTTGTATCATGTTATAGGAATCACGAAGTTGTACTTTAAGAACTACATGTCAACCTTTGTTGGAAATATCCTGGACATAAAAAACTTGTGATGCTTGGCTAGCAAGTATAAATTGCTCTTTTGTCTTTAGCAAGTGTCGACAATTAACGCTGACAAACCCATATTTATCTACTTTTAAAGCAATCTTTTTTCCTTTGCCATACACATCCCACCACTTACAACGAAATAGAATAATAGATCTTCCACCGAGGTAATCCAATTCAACAACTTCAAAGACTTTGTAATAATTTATATCTCCACCATCACTAGTATCACCAACTAGTATCACCAACTACAGGAACCCCACTATTTTGAGTCGACAAACAATTATCTCGACTTTTTGTATGAAATCGAAGTCTATTTATGACAAACCCAGTGAAACTTTTGACAATTTTACTTGGACCACGAGATAATGAAAGTAAATCATCATTTCCTTGATAACAATCATAAACCTACACAAAACCAGGGTATGTTCAAGACAAACAAATGTAACAAAATGATCCAAAAACAACTAATAAATTGTAAAAAGATATTTACTAGAGTCTGAAGCCACTCGGTAAAGTTTTTATTCCATGTTTTTTCATCATATTGAATAGTGAGATCTGCCCCAAAATTCATTGTAGTCCCAACATTAAAATAACATAAATTGGTTAATTTTAACTAAGTATAGTAAATGTGTTGATAGAATCATAAAGTTTAATTACTTACTCAATATGAAAGATGCACTTCAGCATAATTCTTAAGAACATAAATATGAGCTTGTAACCACTCATGTTCATCACGATGACGGGTGCTCGCGGCACCCAATGCCTGCCCACTTTGTCTAAAAATAGAGAATCCTTCAAGACATTCTCTACCGCAATCTTCATGATTTCTTTCAGGACGATTAAATTTTGTTTCGAAGACTTTCAGATATCTTGAGCAAAGAGTCATGCATTCATCTGCTATATATCCTTCGACTATTGAGCCTTCTGGACGTGCCCTGTTTCGAATGTATGACTTATAAGTATAAAGCTGACGCTCCGTAGGGTACATCCAT